ACCCCGACTATCACGGCTCTATCAGTCTCATACGCAGTAGGGAGATTACACCAGACCTCCTGTTCTTACGTATTCTTAAACTAACCCTCTTTCAACACAGCCTTTGCTGGACATCCTGGAAAAAAAAATAAAATAAAAATGCTGGCTTTAGATTTGTGAGGGCCTCGTACACAGACGGCAAGGCTGGCCAGGGCTGTCAGCGCTGATGCACGGGGCCGATCACACACCTGAGTACAGGTTTGTGCAGCCATCGTCAGCTCCTTCATCAACTCACAACGGTGTTCCGATGCGGTGCAGCTGCATGGAGGTTGCGAGTGTGAAGCTGCTCACAAGTGTTTCACAGCTTATTTAAGGATGGAAAGGTAGACATGTAAACACAGACTGAGGCCGCTCTAGCGCCCTTCTCCAAAAGCCTCCTCTTCCCTTTGTACGTGGAATTGCTAAGCTAAGGAAGGTTAGGTCGTGCCGTGTGGCATTTGGCCTTCAAACCTCAGACTGACTTTTTCTGCTAAACACACTTGTCCTAAGTGTCACTTTGGTGCTGTTTGTTGTTTTGTGTTTGTTGGTGGTTTTTTTTTCCTGAACAGGAACCAGCGTACATTTGTCTGGAAGGAAGGAAACTGCAGCTGACCCGTATTCTGAAGCCGGAGCTCATCCTCAGAGTTTGCCAAGGCTGCTGAAAGGATGTGGCGAAACATCAGCTTTCTCTCTTAAAAAAAAAAAAAAGAGCTAAAAGCAACTCACAAGTTCACACGGGCAACTCTGAACTTGCAGTGTGGTTTGCGCACCTCCTACAAGCCTGTTTTTAAATAAGCTTACTTTTAGGCAGTATTTTTGAACCAAAGGTATGCATGTTCAAGTACCTAAAAATGCTGGCCCTGCCAACGTTACACTCACTTTCGCTTTTACATGCCCACATTTGAATATGTAACCCTGCCCATACCTCATTCCCAAACGCAGATATTACTTGGAATGGTCAGAGTGGAGAAGAGTGTCCAAACGTTTCAAACCCTGTACAAATAGTCAGTCAAAACAGTTTTGGGAGCAGCAGCGCTTATTTAAAATCCCCCACAGTGATGCTGTGAGTCAGTGCTCTGCTCAAATCCATTTGCATTTTTTCTTTTCATCAAATAAGGCTTTTACTTGCTGGAGCTGCTTCTGGACTTCTTCAAACCCCCGTTCTCGCTCGAGTTTGCTGACAATCTGTTAATTAGCAAAAAAGAGAATCATTTTTTTAGTGCTTATTTTACTTGCTGGTTTTTAAAGCCTGCTTTTCTGCATTCCAACAACTACTGGCAGAAAAACCCATCTGAATGCCTGCCTATATGTAAACATTCTTTTCTGACTTTAACACTTTATTTTGGTAGTTTTCCTTTCAAGTCATTATGATTACAGGATTTGCAACACTTCCACAAAAGAATGACAGAGCCAAGCCAAAAAAAAAAACCACCCAAAACACCACCCAAAACACAAACCCAAACCAAATCCAACACATGTTCATCTCTCCAAGTGTGAGGCAAGGCCAGTGCTCCAGTTTTACCCTAGAGCAGATCTGCAAATGGTATTTTCTTTCTCTTCCTCTGCCCTCTAAACTGAGGGCAATAAACTGCTTCTCTTCCTCTAACTGGCCCACTTGGCAGGGGCCCAGGTGATCGGAAGGAGCACTACTGCTCTCTGAAAACTCTTTGCTGGCAACTCTACAAAGCGACTGAGGTCTCAGCAAACAATGGATGAGGTTTAGCTGCTCCGGGTCAAAAGCCAGAGGGGGAAGAGCAGAGGATGGGGTAAGTTTAGCCAGTACTAGCTTCAAAAAAAGCCAAAATGGGTGCTAAGATTAGAAAGTGTTCTGAAGTCCCCTGTATCAACAATTTTAATGAGCTTAATGAAGTGTACTGTCATTCTGAGTACCATCCCAAGCTTCTTTTAAGAGGCAAAGATTTGATGCTGAACCCAGACAATTTGAGATGTTACAGATCAGAAGCGGTAAGCGAGCCTCCAGGGTGACACAGAGCTGGATGATTACAGCAAGCGCTGATGCTGTGCGGCTGGGGATGAAAGAGCGAAAGCTCTGGTTGCTGGGAGACCCAGGCAACCTGCTGGAAGTGGTAAGGAGGCCTTCAGGCAACACACCCCTCTCGGCGCGTAGTCTACGCTGGCTCTTATCTGCGGCCCCGCGCAGGCACGCGCAGCCTCTGTTAAGGGTGCCGAGAAAAATGGAGTGGAGAATCTTATCATGCAAAGCAGAGGGCAGAGATTTTTTCTTACAAAGCAGCTTAGAGGTAGCCTGTGATTAAGTGCTTTCAGTTGAGAAAAGATTTCTTTTGTTAGCAATAGCAGGGACTGGAAGCTGTAGCTTCTTTTCTTTAAGAGAAAGACTATTAGAGCGGAGCGTAAGAGGGTTATGATGGGAAAGGAGCGGACACCTCTTGCTGCAAGGCTGAGCGTGCTCCGCTGAGGTGTTTGTACCGACTGTTAAATCGAGATCCCTGGTGCTACAGTCTAATCTGATTTCCGAATCTCCAGGGAAATGGAGCGCATGCACTGGAGTTGTGACAGGCATTAGCAGATACTCTGCAAACCCAGTAAAATGAGAAATCTAGACTGTACAGGAACTTTCTCAAAACTGCAGGGCAAATTTTATTGCTCCTGCCGCTGTGAAATACAGTGGTGACAGTAAAGGTGCATTTACAAACCCTTTGGCTTGTGACCCCTCTGAGCCCCACACAGCTCAGCGAGAGGAGCAGCCTCGGCCACATCCCTGCAGGGCTCTTTCTGGAGCAGCTCCCCATAAATCACACATGGGGCCAGCCCTTGGTTACTTTGTCAAGCCCAACTTTCAAGGCTGAGGGTGCAAGTTAACATGAAGGGGTCAAGCAGGGATAGCAAGACGTGCTTACCTCATCATAGTATTTCACTATGTATTTGCAGATTTCAATCAAGGCCACTTTCTCATTAAATTCATTTTCATGTTTCTAAAACAGAAAACAGTTCTGGTCAGATAGTTCTCCTTTTTAAAAAAAACTTCACATGAAAGCAAATGAAGTTGCTGCTTCTCAACCATACCTTGGATTCCTGAGTTAGAAATTCTTCAACCTCTGAAGTGGTCAATGGAGGCAGATCCCTGATGGCTTTATAGTACGCTTTCACCTCCTTCTTGTAGAGTGGAATGTCCTTAGCGTAGAGAAGTTTATTTGTTGGTGCTTCCTTAAGAGAAAATATTTGAAGCCTTGTCAATTTTCACAGCACAGATTTCCTAAGGTTCCACCTCCACATAGTTAATTGCATCTAATTGTGTCTGTTCTCCCTGTGACTCATTTCTCTTCGCGGTGGTTATACACAAGGAATCAAGGTTATGAAATAAAGATGAAGAACAGACGCAGGACCTCAGTAATGTGTTTCATGACAGTTGCTGTATAATTATTTCTATTGGCATCAGGAGTGATGGACAGTTGTCCCGTAGACCTATTTTTCTTTCTTACTTCCTCCTCACCGCTCCCCAGACCTGAAAGGGTGTGAAAGCAGAAGCAAGGGGCTTGAGGCTGATCCCTATTTACATACAGAGTACAGCAGGGCTGGGGTGAGCTCCCCATGGGTAACATGCCAGAGAGCCTTGCTAGATCCTGTCCCGGCAGAGCTTCCCCAAAACCTCTTTGGTCCCTACTGCTTCTTTTGCTCAGGGGTTCGAGCAGATGGAGAGCTGACGGCCAGGCACGCACAGCCAAAGGGATTTATTTTATTTTTTCCCCCAGAGGATTCAACAACCCAGGTCAGCGCTGACCTACCAGGCAGCTTTAGGCTCATGTGAGGAAATAAATGCTGATGTTCGTGGTAGGAGCTGAAGCCCCACCTGGAAACCATGTTTTCAGAATGTAAAAGTGGGGGTTGGTAGTTTCCTGTCACTGCTCTAGTTTAAATTCTGGGGAATAAACGACACAACCATGTGATATCTCGTCACTACTGTTTCCACTGTGTGATGAAATGATTTAAATGTTTGTTTTCTAAGTGGCTAAAGAACGTTTTAAGACAAAAGGCTAAAAATCACAAAAGTAAATACATTTGAGTACTAAAAGGCCACAAGATGTTTACTGCGTTGCAAACCTTTATTAGGTTTCAGCACCCCTTTTGAAATCGCTAACGGGAGCTGCTGTAGCAACAGTACCTCACAATGGATGTTAAGCACAGAACCCTAAGAGACCATGCTCACTTGCAGTTTTTCCATCAAGTGATGTGATTAGTTTTAATTCATGACATTTCACTCCTAAATTAAGACAAATAAGCATATTATTTGTTATTTACCTTTAACAGATGAGCACTTGGTTCAGCTCACATAGGAAATTAGTCCATTTTTATATAAATTTTTTGGGGGCTAAAAAATCTCTAGCCTGTTTTTCTTGGTAGTTATCAGCCTGAACAAATGCTTCCTGCTTTGGTCCAAAGAAAAGGAAAATATCCTCAGGAAAAAGGAAGTATTTCTGATCCCCAGAGTTCTGGACACTGTACTAAAGAGCTTTTGAATGTAAGAGTTCTGGACTTGTTACTCCAGTAAATAATTTTGCATATAAAAAGGGAGCAGCTAACAATACATGTGAAAGGAACCGTTTCAAACTTCAGAGCCCTTTCAAGTATTCTTACAGCTCCCAGTAGCTTACTATGTGTGTTTTCTGCACATTGGCATGTGGCAGACAAAATTTGGACTACTTATCAAATAATGTTAATACTTTTAAGACCTTTGTTTAAAAATTCTTTACAACTTCATTAAAATCTTACATTTTTCCACCCTCTTCCACATATTCTATAAACACACCGTGCAGAAACTAACTGCAGAGAAGACAAGCAGCAGTTAACTGTAAATACAGCATTCCAGTAGCTGTTATCTGTCTACTCCAGTGAATTCTTCAAAGCCTTCTGAGACGGAGCAACAAGGAATGGAAACCCAGCTTGATCAGGCCACTGATAGTTTTGCCCCTGATGTCAGCGGATCCAAGACTCCATCCTCTAAATCATTATACAGTTGAAAAAGACATTGGTTAAGGAGTTAGCAAAAGACTGGAGGGGCAGCATTACCTTCCCCAGTGTCTGTTCTGCCAGGGAAAAGGCGTCCATGAAAGCTTGTGCGATTACAGACAAACAGCCATCTATGTGTGAAGTCTTCTTAATATCAAAGACAAACTGGGGATTCTTCAGGATGTTCACCCAGAAGCGAAGAGGAAGACTAGACAGAGAAAGAAGCAGCATCTTTTTAAAAAACTAACCACTCAGGTAGCACAATGGCTTTAAACTGGTAGCTTAATTGCACTGCACTCATGGAAAGAAGCACATTTCTGGGCCGCTTATCCAAGTTAGAAAAGGAACCAGGGAACAAAGGCTACAGAGCAAACACATCAGTCACCCTTCCATCTTCAAATAATGCTCTCAGCCTGCAGATACTTCTTTCTGGGTGTGAAGTCAGTACGCAGACTTAGAAGTCCTGGAAGCTAGGGCGGTTCGTATCGGTATGCAACCAATATACTAAAATTACTGGGATCCACAAAGCCAAACCACATCTTCACCCAGACATGCCAAAATTTTAATTCTTCTGATCACAGCTGACCTGTTGCATCTTTGCAACTACATTTTCAGAGAGTGCACGCACTCCTGCACGTATCATATGGGCATACCTGTTCGTTTTCCATATATGGACCACGTCGGGGTCCGTAATTTTTTTGCTCTCAGCCTGGGCATCCAGAAAGTCAAAAAAGTACTTGATGGCAACAGGTGCTTTATTGTTGGGTAAACTCCAAATGCTCCTGAAGAGCTTTTCAACAACTGAATGAATTGCAACCTGAAATGTAAGAAAATGAACGGTGTTATTATTACACAAGAAAAGAAGAGGATTTCGTGTCTCAGAGAGCTGAGTGTGCCCCAAGGCAACCACACACGGAAATTACAATATGCTTGTGGTAAACATCTAGGCCATAGGTTATTGGCAAACAAGAGACTCAATAACAAAAATGAAAGTACAAATACACCATAATGAGTTGCTTTCAAACATCACATGTCCTGTCACTTTACTGAGAGGAGAATTGTGAACTTTGTGATAAATCGTAGGCGGAAGGAATCACTCGTTCCAACCAAGATAACATCAACTCTTCAGATACTGTTGGCACCATTGCTACAGGCATTTGGAACTTGTGACTGGAAGTATGAGGGAGGTGAGTGAAAGGATTTTAACCACTTCTCTAGGGCACTGGTCTTCACGGTGCCATCTGTGACACACGTTGAACACGTGCTTATCAACACTTCACAGCCAAGCGACTGTGGCGCTTGATCTAATTCTAGGGTAACAGTTTTAGGTGGCGTACAAAGACACTAACATTAGAGAGAAGAACTGAAAACTGGGTATTTCTGATCCAGATGTGAAGCTATTTGGCTCACAAAAAGCAAGGGCTTGGTTGCTGATGGACTCACTGACATCATCACAGAGTATTCATAAGTAGAGGCAATCAAAGCAAAACACCGTTTTGTGGGTTTTTTTCCCTCACATCTGTTCCGAAGATCAGTTCAGCCCAATCTCCTCTCATCAAGAAGGATTTAAGTCTATCCCAGGGCCTTGATCCGCTACTGGCCAATTCATTTCACATGGCAAACTCTGCAATTGTGTCTGTGTGCGTGTACGCGTGAGAGAGACACGGTTCAATGCAATTTCCTTTAGTGCACGGCGTACCATGGGTGGCATTTCACAGTGCAGGAAATCAAAGCACTGTTCTTCAGAGCACTTGGAGAAGGAGATGATTAATTTAAAGCCCTTTAAAAGGACTGTTTCTTAAAAGCCTCATCTTTTCTTTTGTACTTCTGTCTTCCAACATATTACTGGTTTACTCCAGCAGTTCCTAAGGGCTTTTGTTAGCTTCCACAGCTAATGAGAAATGACCAGTCTTCACTCTCACTTTGAATAGTGTCCCAAATTACTTCAGATGCTATCAACAATCTAATTAAATAATGATTGATAGATTTTTAAATGCAACAAGGCCATCATCATCATCCCTTCAGGCCTCTTGTATCACACAGCGCCCAGTGTTGTGCACTGATTAATATTTTAAGCAATACGCTGTTGCAAAGAGTTTTATAACCCTTTTGAGTAAGTCAGAAACAAGATGACATTACCAGAGGGAGTGAGCAGGGCTTATTCCTAAGGAATGTGCACTGTATACATTGGGTAATCGTATTATAAATCCTAAGGACCTTGTTTTGAAAATTAATCTAGTTATTTTGGATGCTTAATTTGAGACCCTAAAGGATTATTTCATTTCATGGGCAATATTTTGTGAAACTCGGGCCTTGGAAGTTGTCTCTAAGCTGGGCAAACTGTAGTAGGGAGTGAGGAGATTGCTGACTGAAAGCTGTCTCTCCAGAAGGGATTGTTCTCACTCTGTGGGACTTGGTGGCAAAACTCATTTTCTATGAGCTCAGTAACTACCTTTTTTCTTTAACTTTTAAAAGGTTGTGCTTACTGAGGAGAGAGAGAGTGCAAGTAACAGACATTTTAGAACTCTAGCACTAGAAAACCTGAAATGTGTCCGTCTTCAAACGGTCACAATCCATAGTTAGCACAGTGATTTTTATAGGTTACTTTTTTATTTAACATTTGATATACATGCAGGAAGTCTGCACAATTTCTGCTTTGATTTCTATTTCTGCTGTGCCAAACTAGCCAAGCCTAACATCAGCCCTCCCCCAAAATAAGACCTTTACAGATTACCTTGGTTGACAGCAGCTTTGTCAGATACATTTCTTTCACTTTGAATTTTTGCTTTCCTTTGTGACCTGCTCCTTTCACATCTTTGTTTGTTTCGAAGTCTGGTAAAATCTGTCATGGAGAGATTAGAGAGATTACACAGATACAAATACAGCTCAGTATTAAATCTACCACTTAACAGTGTAATCACTGAACTCACCAAATGACAGTGTTCGTTGGAGTAGTCCACATCTAAACAACAGAAAGCAGAGAGCAAACAGGCATTAATGAAACACACAGCTACGAGCTTGTGAATTCTGCTGGGCTCTGGGCTGTGCAGCAGGGTGCATGCCAGGACACCGAGCGAGCAAGCAGGCTCCACGTCATGCTTTTCCTGCCTGCGGTCTGAGAGAAGCCTCTGAGAAATGTACAGCTCCTGGCTCATCTCCCCAGTGCCAACCTGTAGCTTGGACCACTAAGTTAAGGTTGGAGCACCTGCATCACATGGGTAGGTGAGACAAACTGATCCCTTGTAAACACCCTTTAACTCCTGACATGCTGTGGAGATAGCTGAGTCAAAGCTTTCAGAAACAGAGTCAAGAGAATAAGGAAAATTCCAAACCTGTGGTTTTTTATGCCCGTCTCTGGACGGTGCACCACTATGTCCATGATGCACAACGCCGGGCAGCGGAGCAGGGCATGTTCCCTGTGCTGGTCTCACGAGTCAGCACTTTGCATCACTGGGCTTTCCTGCCCTGCTTTCCTGCCTATGGGTCTGGATCTTTAAGCATTCATTTGCCAAGGACTGTAAGTCCTTCTGTCCTTCTTTCCTTTGCCTTCTTCCTTCCTCCTAGGCCTACTGTGCCTGCCAGAAGCCCAGAGCCAGGGTAACACGGCTCTTCATTTGAGTCAGCTGTATCAAAGTGCCAATTTTTCTGACCTCCTATTGACCAAGACACAACCGGTCACAGCTCAGCTCTCTGCATTCCCAGCCCATTCTCCACAAAAGATTAGGTTGCAGTTCTTTTGTTACCTGATAGGGTATTTGTCTTCTTTTTAAAGACTTTTATGGTTGCTCCATTTGAAATCTGAAAGCATTTTTTTCCTGCTGAAACAAAAGTGTCTAGAATTCACAAAGCCCTCAGTTTCATTTCCTCTGTCCTTAAGTCCGTGGCAGGGCAGGAGCGTGCCAGCCCAGCGTGCCAGCCCATTTTGGTCTCACCATGGTGTGCACGGCTCTCAGCAGGCAGCCAGGGCTGGGTTTTGAGGCATGGGTAGCAGTCGCAGTTTGTTAACCTTACCTGGCAAGGTGGGAAGGCAGTTCTTCCCACAAACCAGCCTTTAAGACCTTTCCCTTTCTTTGATTTTTCTGGTTCAGCCCCTATTTGGATATTTTCATTTTCATGTACTGCTTTGTGCTGCGTCTTGCACCCATCTTTCTACAGATTGCCCAGGTTGAATTCTCCGGCTCCAATGCGACAGGATCTTACGGGAAGGTGAAGCAGGGAGGGGAACACAAGGATGATTTCTCTTCTGGCTCCCTTTCTTCCAGCTCAGTCCATTCCCCCATGCCCTGTGGAGGGGCCATGTTGAGGGTCTAGCCTGGCGTTCCCAAGAACTGTTGTCAAACTGAGCAAAATATTTACGCCTCATGGACCATAAAGTCAAGATCCATATCTAGCTACCTTGGGATTTCTAGGAAAATCTACCTCCCTCCTTCCCTGAATTTATAGTGCCGCCAGGATGGTAACTATTATCTTTAAAAGAAACTGGCAAGTCATGCTTTTATTGTCAAAGAGTAAATCAGAAACGGCTCCCGCTGAGAACTACACCACTGCTCTGCTGTCAAATGTTGGCTCTTGCCAAGTGCTAGTGTACTTGCCTCTGTAATTAGAAAAACAACTGGCCGGTTCTAGGAAGGGATCTCTGCCAAAATAATTTAAGTGTTTTTTAAACCTTGGCAGCCAGCCTGGTGTGAGAAACCAGTTTTAACATTAAGATACTCTATCAAAAGCTGTGTCTTGCGCCAAAGAAATCTGCACTTACACTTGCTCCTGGAAGGTAAATGCAATCTATTTTACAAGTATGGTTTTTTACAGGGTTTCCATTTATCATACAGTGTTTCAGAGCTCTTTCAGATAACACAGAGCACTTTAAAACCACACTACAAGTGGGAAATATGCTCTAAGGCTAGCTTGTGAGGTGACACGAACACCCAGCGAGTCCTCCTACTTGGCCGTGTAGATAGGTAAACAGGAACAGGGCTACCCAGCAGCTTACCCCCTCCCAGCGCGGCGTGGGCAACACGCTGCCTCCGCTCCTTCTCCCTCTCCACGAAGCAGGAGAGCAGCCCAATGCTGAAATGTGTTGGCTCCTGTTCTGAGGGAGATGAGCAGAGCTTGGAGGGAGAACAGTGCTTCCCTCCAGGAACCAGAGGCGTTGGTGCAGTGCAGGCATGAGCCAAGCTCCCACTTCAGGTTTTATTTCTGGGACAAATGATGCTTTTAGCATTGAGTGGGATATGCTGTCCCTTCTTTATCATTACTGCAGCAGCCATACTTGCTGTTTCTTTCAGTGTGATCCAATAAAAAAAACCCCAAACTCCTTCTTTTTGTCTCCTGCTGCATAAACCACTTTTCATGGTGGGCTGCTCCCATGGACACTTCAAAACATCTTTACTTTGTCAGGTGCGTTACTGAGGGGGGACAAACAGGGAGAGGAGAGAGCTGTTCAGATCCACACAACATGGAGTTCAGCTACTTTCCAAAACAGAAGATGTAGTAGTGTGGTTCTAGGCCTCTTCCTTGTTCTCCAGGCCTCCTGTCCTCCCTATAACCCAGTTCTTCTCAGTGAGCTCCCCGGATCACACATTTAGATTCGCTCTCTGGGGATGTGCCTGCTCTGGAACGTGCAATGCTGCTACAGGCTGAGAAATTGGAGATCTGTGACAGGACAGCAGATCTGAAAGGGGTTCTCTAGCTCTCTTCTTGCGTGGGAAATAGGACATCATGATAATCAGCAACTTTCTTGTCAAGGCTTGTGGTTATTCTCATGCAAACAACAGTGCAGACCTCACAAATAATCACATCAATAACCCTACTAGGAGCAAACAATCACAGCAAAAGGAGCACACAAGTCAGAGACACATGAAAGTCTAATAAGAGTACAGTGGATTTTTTTTCCCTTCAGAAACACCACACAAAAAGGCAAACATCCCCTACCTGTGTATCTTAAAAATAAGTGGAGAAACTAAGTCTGCTTTTTCAAGAGTGACTGGTGATTCTGGGACCATTACAACAAAACTCTCATGCTCCGGTATCTTAAAAAGATTTGATGGTAGTTTCCAGTTTCAAAAATCTGATTAGTTTGTAGCATTTAAGGCTAGCAAACAAAAAGAAAAATTCAGGCCTGCCACAAAACTCTAGGCACTATTGAAATGTAAGTTGGAATTCCTCAGGCAACGTTACTACCCTCACAGCGTGTATGCAATGTTCCTTTTTCTTGCTAGACGCTTTTACATTCCTTTTTGCATTAATATGCATACGAGAAAATAAACTAGATATGCTAATGGCTGATACTTGCCACTAAGCCACCGCCTAAAATGACACTAAGCTGCTGCCTAAAATGTACATTATTTTGTCAGTGGCAGAAAAAGCGAACTAAAATATCTAACAGAGATACCCAGCACAATTTCCAAAAGGCAGCTGCTAAGCTATAATTAGTGTAGTTACAGCTTTGCAAAAACAACTGAGCCTCCAACCTAACTTGCATCTGCCTGCAGAAACCTCAGACGAAAACAAGGGCTGGGACAAAGATACCCAGGGATGACAGTGATCAAACAGAGCAGACTCATCTGCCATGAAGTATGGCATCCATGAGCCATGGCATGCCATGGGCTCAGGAAGTGCAAAAAGCTGCCAAGTAAAATCGGGGAGCACTTGCAATAGCTGCCCGTAGTGAAGAGGGCAGGTACGATCACATTTGACAGAAGTTCAAATATCTAATCAGATTCAAATCTACGTTGACCTTTACTGCATAGACTCTGCAACACTACAATGTCCTAATTTGTACAAAATCTTTACAAGTAGAGTGGAGGAAGTCCCATGTTAATCTACAGACAAGATTCAAGAGAGGCACAGGAAAAGCTGTATTTAAGACACCGGATGGTGACTCAGGACATCTGGGGTCACTGCTGCCTGCCCAGGAGGTAAGGAGAGCAACCAACGCCTACAGAAATCTGTAAAGTGACTCCAAATGAGCTTGCTCCAGATCTGAGCAGCCTTGTGCTTCGCCCAAGCTACAAACAGTCCTGCTAGGAGTCCTTGTTTCTCTCTGTGGATGGCACTGTATTTGCTCACGCAGACAGCAACCTGTTCAGGGCTGGCTCAGGTTTCCCAGCACCATACTGCATTGCATGGCACAGACCTACACTCATCAACAAAACTTCTAAATAAATAAAAATTGATTATTATGTTAAGAGCCAGACTTTCAAATTCAACAATGAGGCATGAAGAAAGCTCACTAATAGCACTTGGCGTACTAACCTCATTTCCAAAATCTATCTGTAAGCATCAAAACATGAGCTACCGTATCACCCAAGGCAAATCATCTGTTGCACATTTTATCCCAGCCTCTCACCCTCTATTTTGACTACCGTCAGTGGAAACTCCTCAGACAGGCACTGCTGCTTGCTACGCTTTTACACCCAGAAGGGCTCTGCCGCCAGTTGCAGCCTTGTGTTGTTGCAATGATGGATAGATTATTGCAGCATTGAAAATGACTGGTTTACAGGTGCATTGCAAGTGGAGGAGGAAACTTATGGTACAAGTGGTGACAGTAGATGGAAGCAGAAACAGAGAGAAAAAGGGAAGGAGGCTGACACAGGAGGTCTCAAGAGAAGACTGAGCAAACTCATCGATCCTTTTTATTCTGACTTTCAATGAGCTTTCACAAGTATCCCTACTGTCTGTTCAGCTAATCAAAATATGAGGTGGGAAGAGGTAAACAATTGCTCATGGTGCAACAAAAACTCAGCAGCAGAGACTAGAAAAGACTCAAGGCTATGTTCGTAGCTGGAAATCAGATTCTGTTTTAACTGAAACGCTCAACAGAACAGTCTACCTGGTACGCTTGAACCAAGCAACCTGCAGCAAGTAAATCTCTGAAAAGTAACAGAAAACATATGACTCATTGGCAAGAAAGTTGTGTGTCATGCATTTCTTTCCTTTTCTTCATGATGCTCAGCTACCTTTTCAAGATTTTGATCAATCAAGATACTTCTGTGCAGACAGCATTTAGGAGTTGGGGAGAAACTGCTTCACGATTCATTGGTATGGCTTCTGCGCTTACCTCGTAATGACCGATGGTATTTAGCTTCCTTTTCCCATCTTCCATCACCTCTGAGGAAGCATCAATATCTAACAATTCTCTTTGCTGCTCCTCAGACGCAAGTTCTGCAGTATGACAGCAACAGAAAACAATTAACATCCCAATGGCATTCTCACCGTACAGATGTTTGTAAAGAAAAACAACACCTAATTATTTTTGGATCAGTGGCTCCCCACTGAGCTGTTTCTTGCTGTCCTTGTGCTAGGTCACATGAGAGTGGTTTGGCACTCCCACACTACAGATTCCTTTTCTGGGGTGACAGCCTGGGTGGCTTCCATTATTGCAGGCTATTGACGCTTCACTTTGTGTTGGTCAAGGCAGAGTTTTTGGAGGTGCTTTCACCTAATCTAGTTATTCTGTTGCACAAACATGCCCTGGTGTTACAGCCACCTTGGGACTAGAAGAAAGGTTTCACAAGCCACTTCTAAGAGATCACTAAAATGAACTGTACAAGACTGACATAGTATTTGTGAAGGGTGACCAGGCACTGGTGGTGGATGTAAACATCAGATATGAAAGTAAATTATCATCACTTGCCGACACAGCATCTGAGAAGGAGAGGAAATAGCAACATCTTAGGGAGCAAGTCCAGGAGGTGCCGAATGCCAACAATGTAGAGTTTGTTGGATTTCCTGTTGGAGCATGTGGGAAGCGGTATGGTGGCAACTACAGGCTTTTATCTGACCTTGAGCTCTTGAAAACCCAACAAGAAAAGGTGGCTCGACTCATCTGCTGGAATGGCCTTATTTACATCTGCAGATACTGTACGTATCTTTGTGAGTTACATGCGTACTATTATATAGTTATCTGTCTGTAAATAAACTATATTTGCGGGTTCTTCTGATCAAGGGGAACATCGGCCTGTTGGAAGGAAGGGCAGCAGGAGGGGTAGTAGGTAGGGACTAAAGTACTTGGTGATCATGACAAGTCACCTTACCTGCTGACAAAATTTATCAGCTAGCTGTACTTAGGTGGACAGGCCACCTTACTTAAGCCAGAAAAGAAACATGTAAGTTAGACGTGTTCAATAAATAACATGTGTTTGTTAACTGCATGTTGAAGTCTCTGCAGAAGCAAAGCAGATGTATTCCAATGTTCTAACCGGTAGCATAAATGATCTAGTATTTCCCTAGAAATTCCTTACAAAAGCTATGTTCTGCCTAAACCCTAAAAAAAAAATCAAAGGTAGGAATTCCTGACAAGAAAACTCTACAGACAAACCAGTGAACTCCACGAAAATATAACACACTGACACTCTCTTACCAAGACCAATTTCATCCAGCTGAAGACCATAAGGAAAGCCATTCTTATTAAGGAAAGCCTGGAGGCTCTTCTCCTTGGCTTGGCCTATGGTGTCACAGTCCAGAACATTAACTTGAATAGTTTGACAGGCAACTCCACTCTCATTTTCTGGGATTTTTTCAAAGATAACGTTCACTGTCTGGGGAAAGAAACACATGTTATTCTGACTTACAGGGAATACCTGGCATGGGAAACCGATAAACTTCTGACAGCAAACCTGAGGGATTTTCAGCATATTTATTATTAAAGCTATTTCAAATAAAGATTAGTTGAAGGAATTACACAATGATGCATTTAGAATTCCTCGTGCCTGAAGAATCAAAGATATATAGCTGTGTATTTCCAAAAGTGTATTTTGTATTCTGCCTTAGTGCAAATCTATTTCAGTGAATTACCAACAAAAAGACAGGACACCAGGAAAAATTACAATGCGTGTTCTAAAAATAGCAGATCTTTTATTTAAAATGAATGCCTTAAAAGCAAAACTGTAAGCAACTAGAGATCTGATAAGGTTGCTAAGTAAGTCGTCATGGTAAGCATGATTGATTCTGAGTGGATAGGAAGCAGTGTTAAAATGCATATTTACACCAGCAGATTATGCTGAGTGCCTTATATCATACAAAAAAAAAAATACAGCTGTGTCTCTTGAGGCAGCAGAGACAGGGCTACTGCAGAAGCAGTGGAAAGGGAAGGCATGTTCGAAGCAGACAGAACCCAAAGCATTCCACATCTGCACAGAAAAGTGTGATTTATTCTACTAGTTGCTACTCCGAGTCACTCACTCACATAACCTGTCCAGTTACAACATCCCTGCCCTTTAGCTCACAGCTACTCAGCTGGGACACAACTCATCTGTTAGGCTGCACACACAGGGAGTACGGGCTAGAGGTGGCAATGAGACTGGGTGACCGTCTCCAGGGAATGTTTTTAGCCAGGTCATGTTTCTGGTCTGGTCAGGCAGATCAACTGCCAAAAGGCAGGGAAAAAGGGATGAGCAGGGAATTGCTAGTGTCGAGCGGTAACAGCAATCATTTCCAGTGCCGCAGCCTGCTCCTTGCAGAGAAATCACTGTTCAGCTACACGGATACAGATGTTCTGCTGGAGATGTCTTGGGACAGAATTAAAACAAGTGTTTTAGGTGCCAGCACTTGACTGCAAGTGGCATAAGAAAAATTTGTGTACTTGAACCATTCCGGCTGTTGGACGTTTCTGGTACAAAACATATCTTTTGACTGAAATGAGAGGACTGCAGGTGTGACTTGGTGAAGGAGCAATCGTTAAAAGAGGAAGCAACTAAAAAAAATTTTTTCCCTGCTGTCATGTGAAGGAAAGAACTTCTGTCCAGGTTGCTGCACGGACAACTTTTCTCAGAAAAACAGGTAGTTATTAATAGTTGTAGAATGCTATTTTCTGCTTTATTACCCAGCAAGAGTGGAAATTACAACACACTGGTGGTGAAAAAAAAGTAGTCCAGTGAGACATAGATTAACTTCACTGTTTCTACAGAAGCAAAAGTGGTATTAAAAAGAGTTGCAAAACTATGAAGATCAGGATTTTACAAAGACTAGGGCATAACTGAAGTAACTGAGAATAACTTAATCAGGACACCGAGTTGTTTAATTGTGAGGAAAATGAGTCCATGGAAAGGACAGACAGAACAGAAGAGGAGGATATGTGGTAACGGTGCCTGCAGAAGGAGAAGCAGACTGGATGCCATGCCTCAGGTTGGGATTTCATGCGGAAAATTAGTAAAAAATATATTGGCACAGGAATGAGGGAGTCATGCTTGGTTAGGTCCACAGACCAACTGAACAGACAGCAGTCCTGTCCTTGACTTTGGTTGCCCTGAGGTCATGGTCTTGTAGGACAAAAATGTGGACAGGGACTAACTGTATTTTGTCTTTGGAACACTCATTTTAATCAAAGTCTTTGTCTCTTCTGTTCTCCAAACTGATCTTTCTGGAGTAGCTACTCACACTTTAACTGATGTTGATTTGTCTTTACATCCTTGGAAGCATTCCTTCCTTTAGTCTATCCTTTCCTCCTAACATTATTCCTACGCTGCAATATTCATGTTCCTGCTTCTTCATTTCCTCTTCCTTTCAGACTATCAAGAGAAACTGTCTTTTCTCTGCTGCATTTCCTTTTCAGCACATGCTCTCACACAGATTGCACATAAATGTTATTAGCATGCCAGTGTCCTCCCATCCCTGCTCAACTCATTGCAGGATGTCAGGACTGTAAAATGGGAGAAGTGGTCCTTTATGTAGGTGGAACAGGAGTCATTTCTGGACTCCTTAATCAAAAGTATTCACAATGCGAGGATCCTAACAACACTTTACGACACAAAGAAGTGGTCAGATGGGAAGAAACAGTTAAATGCACGAAAGTCTCTAAACCAAGAGAGCCAGACAGTTTTGCTGATATGATTTCCTGCAGAAGTTAATCTTAAGTGACGAAGCAATTGATGGGGAGCTAGGAAAGCCAATTATTATTAAGTCTTCTCTCTGTAGCTGAAGTTTTCATAAATCAGCTTCAACCTGTCTGACAGCACAGTCCCTGGCTTTAGAAACCATTAATCAGAAGCTGACAGTCACAATCACTGCATTTAGACACAAAGTGTAGAACTGGAAAAAGAATCAGAAATGACTGTAAAATTATGAAAGCCCTTTTATGATCGGCTCTGAAGGTCAGAAAACATTTAAAAGAAATCACAGGAGGACACATGGAAGTCACGAGGAAACATCATCAGGCCCTTTTCTAAGCTCTCTCACTTTGCAAAGGAAACAAAAAAACCAAGTTAACTTA